CTGTGATAAAATCATCCTCTTTCCTTAAAACCTGAAAAGCTACTCTAATTAATTAGGTCAGTTCTTCAGAAACATGCAGACAAGAATGCATTCCTATTCTTCAGAGCTTAACATTTGGATTTTTTTCCCCCTGAATATATATATCCAGTGAAATAAGGTCTAGGCATATTTGTGACAGTTATATTTTGAGATGCTTCCTTGCCTTCCCACTCCTCACCTGCTCCTACCCAGTTTCCAGTGAAGCTGTAGAAGAGCTACAGTGAACTGCTGGCCAGGCTTCTGGCCTCTGTACAAAACCCTCTTGAAGTTTGTATATAAGCTACTTGGTGTTCTGAGATGTTCTTGAAGCTGCTATGAAAGCCAGAAAAGTACCTCACCTTAATCTCAGATAGTCCTTAAACCATTGCCTACAATATCTACTCCTGCTCAGTTAATGGAACATTATGTGATGCGGCTTTTTTTTTCTATTATTGATTTGCCTGGAGTTGCTGAAACACTGCAAGTAGCTGAAAGGTGAATCCTAGAGGCTGGAAATATAAGAAACATGAATACATGAAATATGAAACTTATATAAGCAGCCGGAAGAAGAGGATGGAATATTACTTATTAATATTCTCTTTAGTACTTAGTTTTATTTTGATATTTTGCATATATGTTGTTACAAATATGCACCCAGGAAAATCCTCAATTAGTTAAAAATTTCTTATTTACAGTTCCTAGTAAGAGCAGGGTGTTCAACATTTATTACAGTGTACATTTTGTAATTTTACACGTCTACTGGTTTTTTAGCTTCTCTTTCAATGAGTATTTACTTTTTAGTTCCTTTTTTTCCTCTGTTTTGCTGGCTATGACAACAGAGTTAAAATGTACAATAAATGGGTAAAGCATTGTGAAAAAAAAGTATTTTAAGGTACAGTGGTGTTTGATAGGGATGGACTATTAGCAGTCTCTGAATTCCCTGACATTATTTATAGCAAGAAACAGAGCTGCTGTTAATGGCTTTTGTTGGATTGGGACTCTGTAATTCTGGAAACCTTCTATTGACATAGACATGGCATACCTTTTCCAATGAAGTTGCACAAGGACGAGGGTTGGGCTTTTTTTTTTTTTTTTTTTTTTTTGGGGTGTGGAGTGACACACAGTGATTTTCCTGGGTCACAGAATCAGATTTGGCATCCAAAGCAGATTTAGTTTCATCTGCATCAGCTTTTAATTGATTCTTAGAATCAGTTCAAAGGTAGCTGTGGGCAGCCAGTCACAGCTAATACCTAGTACACAAATAGCATCTGCACAAATGGTATATAATTCTGTCATTTTTTGTAAGAAGTTAGCTGAACAAAGAGTGAAAAATATGACAAGTTCTTTACAGCAGGGTGTGAGTCTTTGGGGGGAATGAAGCACTCTTTTGCCTTGTTCTACCAGTATTAAAGGATTTGATTTTTGTTCAGTGAAGTCTTCCCAGTACTTTTGTAAGATTTAAAGGGCAGAATCTTAACATGGCAATGTAAAGTCTGCTTAATTTTGTTGTAATAGTGAAAAACAGTTTTTAATTATTGTGCTGTAGTGCTAAGTAGTATACAGGTCTATGATCTTTCCAGAAATGCAAATTTCTATGATTTCTGTGCAGTATCAACTAGAGTTGTGAAGACTCACAGTTGTTGTTAACCTTATTTCTGAAATGTGAAATGAACTGTCAATTCAGCCAAACCTTAGTATTGGGCTCTTTGTTGGAGTGAAGGAGTTGTTTTGTCTTCTGAATCAGTGAAAGAATTAACAGAACAAGCTTTTAATGATACTGTTAAATTTAATTTGCACCATTGTAAAATAAAATACAGAAAGCAGACTTGTGATGTGTTTATTTTCAGATTACTGGCCAAAATTTTTAGTGTTAAGATGTCTAAAGTAAGCTCACAGTTTGAATACTCATGAGAAGCACCAAGATTTCTTTTTTTTTTAAAATGTGTACTTGTTGGCACATACATTCATTTGATTTAGGTAAGGCCTACTTATGAAGGAAGTAAAAAAAGGCATAAAATAACTAACAGCCTTAATCATTTTAGTCTTAGCAAAGAAAATACAAAGATAAGACTTAAGTTCCAGCCATCATTCATTGTAGTTTGGAACCAAAAGGGGTTGCTTGCTTATTTTTTAAAAGTGGATTTTTTTATCCCTTGGTAGTTATAAAAATGTCTTATGATTCTTTACTGAAAATACATTACCAAAAATTATATTTTAAACGAAATAATATGTATGTGATTATTTCTGTGAGAGATTATCTATGTAATTTGGTAATCTTTTGGAATCTACACAGAATCATCACCACCTCTCAATGTTCTTTTGAAATTACAGTTAATGCAACACAGGATTTTAAACATGGTATCTAAAATATATATTTTAAAAATCTGTGATTAAAAAAATTAAGATATAGTGCTAAAATGCACAAAAAATTGCTTCTTTACAAAATAATGCCACTAGATGTCACTGCAGCCGTGATATTTGATCTCAAAACGAGTACACAGTATTAATTAGAATAACTTAAGTTGTATTAGTTTAAAATATTCTTAAAGCTAGCATTTTACAAAGTGAAAATCATTAAATAATCATACTAATAGCTATGACACACTACTGGAATTGGAAAAACATAGAGGTTATTTTGCACGTATTTTTACAGGGAAGAAAATGAATGTTAGTTTATTTCTGATGCTTACTGCATCAGAAAAAAGGCTGCAGCTAATTGCCACAAATGAGAACTCTTCTACAATGAAAACTGTGTTTTTAACTTTGCAGAAGATATATAAGCAGTATATCAGAATTTGACAGCTGGGCTTCAGTATCTAGTAATATTTGCCTCCTAGATTCACCAGTCTAGCTGGATGGGTTTACATATCTTAAGCTTCATCACAAGCTCTGTTTCTACAGGTTCTAGATACTGGATTCTAGGCTGCAGACTGTTCCATCTTTCCCAAGAGTGTTGCTAAAGCTATTTTAAGCATGCTCATTCAAACTGCCCTTAAACAGAGTGCAGCACTGACTTAGAAATGTGTTAAATTGAACTGTAGTGAAAGTCTGAGTAAAAAAGGGCATTAAAAAGCCTGTAGTTCTGGACAATATACCTTAATACCCTCTCTCTTACACAGGATATAGTACCCCTCAGAGAATTGCTTGTAAATAAAAACACACTAGTGAAATACTTGGTTTTGTTAAGGGTTACACACTAGTGAAAGTTGTAAAGAACAGTTTAAAGAAAGGTAAACACTGATTTCCATGAAAAGGAACAACCCTCTTAACAACCTTTATTTAATTTGCTGCTACATAAGACTGCAGTCTCATTCTTGTGAACATCTTGTATGGAATACTACTTTCTACTGAAAAGGAGGTTTTCTCAGGTTTCAGAATCAGGCACAAACAGGGTCATATTTAGCACATTAGTTTTGGAGCTTTTCCAAAAACGTTGAAAAAAAGCAGTGTAAGAATGCAAGTACAAAGCATTAGAATCGACACAAAAATTAAGCAGATACAAAACAGCTGCGGTGTCTTTTGTAGTGTTTCCCCTTATTTGTAAAGCTTTAAAGATTATCCAGTGCTTATGACACCAGATTAAAAACTGAAGAGTCAGAAGTGTTTCACGCTCATGTTTAACCTCATTAGCAGACACACCAGGATTAATTGTACGAACAGTACAGTACAGTAGGTTACAGCAGGTTATTTATGGTGTTAGGGAAAGCTGGTGATACAAATGTGAACCTCAGGGCTGCGTATGGCTTTGTACTACAAGATCTTTTAAAAGTGTTTCAAGAGTTGATTTTTTTTTTTGTTTTTTTTTTTGTTTGTTCAGGGGAAGAGTGACTTTTTTAGCCCCATTGTTTTTCTCTCCTCAAGGAACCTCTCCGTTGCAACCTTTGCTTTAGTTGTAAAACTGAGACGGACAGTCTGCCCTGTTTGGCACTTACCAGTTCTTTCTAAAGGGGAGAGGCGGAAGAACGCGCCCAGAGCTCGAACCAGCGCGTTAGGAGAGCTCCGCGCCTCAGGCGGGCGCGGCTCCTCCCGGCGCTCGCAAGCGCTTCCCGGCTCCTCCAGCCCCGCGCCCGAGGGCGGCCGGCACCGCCCGGGCGGGAAGCGGCGACCGCGGGGGGCCTAGGGCGGGGCGCTCCCCAGGGCGCCGCCAGCTCATTGGCTGCAGGTTGACCTCCGATTGGTCAACCGACCTGTCTGTCACGACAAAGGTTGTCCCAGGTAGCGCAATGGGCGCTCCGCCGGCTCCCCCGCGCCTGAGGCGACCCCGCCGCTCCGCCTGCCCCCGTCCGGAGCCCACCCGCGCTGCTGAGGTAGCGCTGCGGCTCAGCCCCGTTCCGAGCCGTATGCGACACCCGCCCGGTGCCCGTGGGGCGCTCTGCCACGGGCCGCCCCCGGGCGGGGAAAAGCAGCCCCAGCGCAGCGGGGCGCGGCGGCGCTGCCCGGGCAGGCGGGGCGGAGGGCGGGGCTGTGCCGGGCTCAGGGCCGCTGCCTGCCGGAGTAGAGGCGCTGCCGGGCCGGGCAGCGGGGGGAGCGCGGGGGCCGGTCACTCGCGGCGTCAGCCCTGGGCCGGGCGACACAAAGGCTCCGTAACGCGGTTGCCAGAGCGCCGCCGGTCGCCTGGTAACCGCCCGCTGCCGCTTTATCCGGGGGCGTCTCCTGGCTGGGGGCGGGGTGGAGCTGGAGTCTCTGCGGGCGCTTGCCCGTCGTGTCCCGGGGCTCTTCTCGGCTCCGCTCCCGCTCCTATGCGGGCTGCGGCCGCTGCCCTCGCAGCACCCTGGGCCCTGGCGGGCGGCCCCTCCGGGCAGCGGGTCGCGTCCCAGCGAGCGCGCCCCGGCCCCGCCGGCGCTGCGCTGCCGAGCGGCTCCCGGCAGCGCGGGGGGCCCGGCAGGGGCAGGGCCCGCGGGCGGAGCGCTCCGGGCGCTCCCGCCGCCGCTCACGCAGCAGAAAAAGGAGCGGCGGAGCCTCTTCCGCCCCGCGGTGACAGGCGTGCCCCGAGGCGGCGGCCGGCTGCCTTCGCTGTCCGACGCTGTGCCTCTAATCTGTCTTTCAGATCGTTTGTACTTCGCTACTTTACGAACTAAACCGAAAAGTACCGTAAATACCCACTACTTCTGTACCGATGAGGAATTGGTCTATGAAAAGTAAGTGTTGCGGTTTGCATATTCAGAGTGATCACCTGAGAGCCTCCCCAACACACTTTGGTATATTCTGTAGAATATTTTTGCCCCCTTCGGTTTCTTGCACAGAATATGACTATGAAGTTACTCCAAGTGTATTTATTTATTCGCTGAAACTATTTTTAATAAGGTGACACTTAAAAAAAAAATGACCCATACAAACACAACTGCAAGGCCGGTTAAATGGCTTAAATCGTGGTTGAGCTCAAAGAAGGATATCTGAGCCTTGGAAGATTTGTTTAAAACATGGAGGTCTATTTGGACTAATCACACTTTATTGAGTGGTGTCTTAAATAGAAGACTTATTTGGCACGAATAGATAAACAGTAGTTTGTTTTATATTTCCTGTATTTTCCTGTATAGAGAGTATGAAGTTTACAGAATCCTAAGAATGCAGTGTTTAGATGTGCTCTTGAAGAGCGTCTATAACTTCTTTTATAACTCTGGTTTTAGTTCAGGGTTTTGAGATAGCACTTCTTGATGGCTTTTGTGTCTTTAGAACAGCAGAGAAAATATTTTCTGTGAAGTAAAAGGTTCGTGTTTGTAATACACTGACTTCACACAGAAGGTAAAAAATAAAACTGATTATAGTTCTGAATGCTATTTAAGGACATAAAAAACATCAAACAAATAAAGCAATTACTCTGTGCTGTGGCTAAAAAGTTGGTGCTTTGGACTGCATCTCAAGACCAACTGTTTCCTGTGTGATGATATATCCCTACCTGCCTGACATGGAGTTTGCTGTAACAGAAGCAAAACAAAAAGTGTGTTCCTATTTTAAGCATAACTTGCTTTCCAAATGACTTAAAGCAATTGTGAACATCAACCATTCTTCCCTCCTTTCTCCCGCAGCCAGCGCTGCTTCTGTGAAGATGTAAACCAATATTCCTTGGTTTTTAGCTTCCTTTTTTTGCACAGCTTATAGTTTCAGGGTATCTTTTCTAGATGTTTTATCTTAAGCTCTGTCTTCTACTGGAGTTCCCAGTGGTTCATTCTGAAAGTTGACTTTTGTAACGGGGTGCTTGGGTTGGGAGTAAGTTCTTTAATGATCGTTAAGGAATTTTGATTGGAAGGGACCTTTGAAGTATCCTAAGGGAGGGTTGACCTAATATTGAAAGCAGAACTCCACTGGGGAAGGTCCAGAGCAATTTGTGTGGTATGAAAGTGCTACACTTGCTTTAAGAAAGGAAACTTATATCTCTTCCAGATTTCGGTATTATGTTTTATTTCTTAATGTTCTTTTAGGAAGTGTGAAGGGCTCTTGTGTGGCATTTGGTCTTGTGGGTAGGAAAGGGGAACAGTTTTGTACTGTTAGTTGCAGGTGGCTGTACTAACCAAGGCCTGTAACTGAGTTGAGGTATTTGTGTAAGGACAGTGACATGTTTAAAAAAAAAGTACTGAAAAATTTGAGAGGGTGTGGGGGAGAAAGTAATTTTGTTTAAAATGTAGAGGAAATTCTGTAGGTATATTCCTTAACCCAGTGTTAGCTACCTATGAAGGTGTAACCTGATGCCAGATATAATTACTGGGTAAAGGAAGGAAGCAAAGTTTCTTTTATCTTCTAGGACACAACTAAGGACTTTGAACAGGTAACTCCTGGTGTGTGTTCTGAATTGATGGCTCATAATCTGTTTGGCCCATTTTAAAATTGTTGTCCTGTATCTGATACCGTAAAGATATTCTCCCTTTTGTGCTCATAAAATGCTGAAATGTGATATGAAAATAAGTGACAGTTACCAGGTGGTACCAAGGAATTGTGCAATAACCTTTTAAATGTCATTGCTAAACTTTCCCCTGGTATTTCTATTGCAGCACCCATCCCTATCAGTGTCTGCAATGTTTGGTAATGCCTGATCTTTTTTTTTTTTTTTTTGCCCTCTCATATCTAAGGCGATTTATATGGTCTCAGGGAAGTAAAAGCAAGTGTCAGTAGAGTTACCATGTTATGTGTATTTTTAATATCTTTCTGAATTTGGAAGGCTATAGGTAAGTTGAGGAATAGAATGCAAGGGTCAGTTCTTGGGGAAGTGCTATTTTTACTGTAGCTTCCCTTATGCTCATAAACAAGCTTGACATCAGCCGGTCCCTTGCGTTTCCCAGGCTGCACACAAAGTGGGGGGCCTGACAGGGCTTGTCTGCAAGTAGTTGTGGAGTGTAACTTTACTACAACAGATCAGATGGTCTCCTCACTTCCTTAAAAATGCAGTCTTCTTTCAGAGAAAGTGATTAGAAGTATTTGTTACCTGATAGCAAAGTAAATATTTGGAAGTGAGTTTCGAAATGCTCTAGGTCAGAACAATAGTTTGCAGAATCTTCATGGAAATGGCCTCCTTGGGTGGTTCTTGTGGTCAGAATTCCACAGCCACTTATCCTTTTCAATCAAATCACTTGTTCAGAGAGTTCTCAGGAGGGGGATAAGAGATGTCTGCTCAGGCATGAAATCCTCAGCACCTGTGAGGTGTGTAAATAATTGCATTAATAAAATTGTTTATTGATTTAACTTGCTTAGATGCATCATTGTAATGACAAGACAAAGATAGTTCATTGTACTTGGAAGTAAACTTTTGGCTCTTTTTCTGTGTAAATTGCTTTTCTTTGGACTCTTATTCTGTTAGCTTGTTACAGAATTTTATTTGGCCGACTTTACAGAGGTGTCAGTTTGCTTCACTGAAGCATTATCTGATCTGAAAACCTCATGAATATGTAGGTTTGGAGTTGCCTGATTACAGAGAGCCTGTTACTGGATCACATAGTACTTAAAAACTCATTATCTTGCTTCCCTTCCCCCACCCCCCCCCCACTCTTGAAGAGACATAAGGAAGTAATTTTTATATTAGTACTATACCCCATTAATTAAACAAAAGAGCTGTAGTGCCAGATCTGATGGTTTGGGAAGTTTGGGGTTGACTTGCTCCTGTACCTTGTCACATGATTTATCACTCAATTATACACAAAGTGAGGTTATGTAATCTTGAGCGCTTTAGACTTCAGTTCTTATTGAAGTTTTCAACTGTTCTAATGACTTCATAATACTGTCTAACTTAAACATTCACACTAAAAAGATAACAAAGATAGGCTTAAATGGTTTTAAGAACATCTTAAATTGCTAGCAGACTAGAAACTTGCTACTAGAACTGTCACTATTTTAGTTAAATGTGCTGCAATTTAACCTTGAACCTATTATGCCAGAGAAATTACATACAAATGCCTCAGTTAGGAGAACAAGAAACCTGAATGGAATGATACAATTCTGAAATCTCTTCTTTGATAGTTTTGTTTCTGTAAGATTTTCTCAGAGTCTTTCTGAAACTTTGAGGTTTTTCCTGAGAAAGTCTGCACTACTTCTTGTAAGGGAACACAGTCTTTCAGTATAGTGTAGTACAGGTAACTATTGCTTCAGAAAAATGGAGTTAAAGAGAAACAATCCATCTTGATGAAGATTGTCGTTTGGCAAATAGACAAACCTTGCCTTGGCAAGACTCCAGTTAATGAGTTAGGCACTAGTAAGAAGCTTTTTATTCTCTAAGAATAGCATCTTTTACGTTTCACCTTCCAGTAAACAGATCTGGGTTGAGAATACTACACTTGACTGGTTAACTTGGCTTTCACATAGTTTTATCAAAGCAGTTTCATCAAGCTTTTAATGTCCTTTTTATTTCTGAGTAGTTTTCTCAAACAAAGTCAGAATTTAAATACTGTGAAACAGGAATCTCATCCTGATGATTTATAACGACCTTCACAAATCATAATGGTTTTATTCAGTCATTTGTTCTGACTTTGGATCTCTTGTGTAAACAGCTTTTGCAGATCTGATCTCTGACATGGTGTAAGCAACAATAGAAGTAGTAAATATGATAGTCTCTGTAAATCATGCTTTACACTGAAACATTCTTTCAGGCTGTGGTATGTTACTTGCCCATTTCACAGCAGTCTTCATGAGAGCTACTTCAGTTGTGTAGCAGTAGAGCAAGACTCTCAAGTGCTCAGCTACAACAATTTTAAATGAGTATCGTTTCTTCTACTGCATGTGTATTTGTAAAGAAACAGTTTGTCTTGCCTGTTACAAGAGTGAGGATTAGCCTGTCTGGTTTGGCTTTGGTTATGTGCTGCTTTTCTGTGGCTCTCCAGTAACAGTACTGCATAGGAAACCTGAACTTCTTGATCTCTCTGTGGCTTAAATCATTGGAAAGGAAAAAGAAAACTTAAACTTAGCCTTGTTACAATAATCAGAGCTGTCACATCACACAAAAAGCTGTTCACATCAGTAATTTTGAAAACTTGACCTTGACTATTGGATGACCAAGACAACTTAGTAAGATTGAGTCCAAAATTAAAGCAAGGAAATTCCCCAACTTAATTTTATACATTACTTTACCATATCTGTATCTGTCTTTGCTTTTTCATAAGTACAAGATAAAATCATTTGCCAGTAGTACTGAGGGGATTTTTCTTTTGTTTGTAGTATGAGGGTACCAGAATAAAACAACTGCTTTCTAAGCTCCAGTTTTGAGTTGGATGGGGCTGTAGTTTGTCTAGGAAATCCCGTATGTGCATCTTGGCCTCTGTCAAGAGATGTTTTTCCAAAGGGACTAGGTTTCTGATGTGACCTGAAGGTTCTATAGGGAAACTTTTTATGGGAGAACCTCTTCATTGTTAATTTTTTTTTTTTATATGAAGGAGTACTGGATTAAAAAGCCATGTATCTGGAATAATTATTTTAATTATCTATTACTTAGTTCTGTGAGTTGTTGAATTTTGAAGAATCAGGATCTTGAGGAGGATATGGAACTTCCAAGATGAAATGGACTTAATACCTGGGGGGGTTTGCATAATCCAGGGCCTCTGCCCTATTCCTACCTTCAGCTATTTCCAGCGTTATATTTGCTGTGTCATCCTTGGTCTGTTCAGAGGCACGCAATCCCTAAGCAGCATTAAGCATTAGGAATTTTGTCTCAGCCCAATTA